AAAGAAAAGAAAAAAATCCATTGGTTACATTTAAACAAATGACATGGCTGCTTTTTAATAAAACTTTACTTACAAACAAGCTAGAGACTGCATTTGACCAGTGGACCATAATTTATCAACCTTTGATCTAAATGAAAGCTGTGAAGACAAAATCCCTAAGAAATTAATTCACAATCAATGAGTGGAGGGAGACATTTAGTATGAAACCACATTCACAGCTTGGAAGGTACTGTAGTGCTGTAAAGAACTGTTCAAACATTTGTCAAACTTCCTTTTATTCAAGTCTCACAACAACCACACACAATAGAGGCCATAATATTTCCAATTCTATTTTTTTTAAAGACAATCAAGACATGGAAAGTTAAGGTGATTTCTACAATCCCAGTATAGGTGATTAAGCCAAGATTTGAGCCTATGATGCTATTGATCACTATTCTAAATACTTTGACATAAAAGAGAACTGCATTTGAATCCTAACATGAATATTAGCTCATTGTTGCCTTATGGCGGATAGCCTGACATCCTTCAGATAACGGCATCTACTTCTCAAAGCCATGGTAAGGGTTCATGATGATAATGCATGTTGAATTTATAAAATGCCTCTTATGATAGCTGGCCACTCAACATATGAGTCCTTTCGCATTTTGAATTTATTTACTTATTTGTTTGTTTAGTTATTTATTTATTTTTCTAAAGTTACTGAGAAGACACGCCTGAAATTTACTGGAGTAAAGAACACAGGAAGAGTAGGTCATGAAATGAAAATACCAACTTTTATTTCGGCATGCTGAGCTTCAAGTTTCTATGGAGAGATCCCCAAAGCAATTGTCATGAGGAATCTGAAGCACAGTAAGAGATATCTAAAGGTCATGGCTTAGACATCTTTTCAGATACTAATAAAAGATTTCACATGCCAAGGCATGAAATAGACATTCTGTAAATGTTTGTTAAACAAATAGATAAATGAATGAAAACAATCTAATAAAAAAATAAGGGTTGTAATACGAATAATGTTCAAAAAAATCTTAGCAAGTTCACTAATTACACTTTTATGAAATTATTTCTGTCATAGAAAAAATTCAATGGTTGTAAGAGCTATTTGATGAAGCAATGCTGGTTTTTTTAAAAAAGATATTTATTCACGTGTTACCTAACAGATTACAGAGGAGATGAAATAACTAACATAAACCTAGTAGACATTGCCTCAACCAAGTGACCCAACTGAAGGTCACCCATGAGGAAACATTCTAAAATTATGTGCCTCCGACACAATGCACTGAGAAGAACACAATGCCTCTCTAGCATTACTGCCAAAATTGTTTCAATTGAATTCAATAATGAAGAAATAACCAGACAAATTCGTGTTCTGCAAAACTCTTGACATGGAGCTACATTCCCTCATTAAAAAAATGAATGTCAAGGAAGATTATGAAAGGAAATGTTTGGAAATTTTTTCTAGATTAAGGAAGAATGAAAAAGATATGATGTTTCAGTGTACAATCCTCTACTGTGAAAGTTATTGAGACACTTGGAGAAAACCTGACAATGAAGTATATTCACTAATAACTCTTAGTGCTAAGTTTCCTAAATCGGGCCATTATAGTCTGCAGAAAAACAACCTTGCTTTTAGCTGATTCCTAAGAATTTGGGGCCTAAGTATTAGGATTTCATCAAATAACTCACAAATGATTCAGCAGAAATATATGTGAATGTGTTGGTAGCAGAAGAGAAAAAATGAAACAACAGTGGCAAAATGTTAGTAATTGGTGAATGTAGGCAAAGAATATATATGTGTTTGTGGTACTATTCTTAAAATTTCTTTCATTTTTTAAATTTTTATATATTTATTTATTTGTTACAAGGTCTCACTACACAGTTCAGACTCATAGAAATCCTCCTGTCTCAGCCTCCCCATTGCAGGGATTACAGGCATGTGCCACCACAGTGTGGTGTGCCTGGGCTTCCGGGACTGGCATGGCATCAGTGCCAGGGATCAAACTTGGGTCCTTGCCCTTGCCAGGCAGGCACTTAGACAACTGAGCTTTCTCCCCAGCCCATCTTAAAATTTCTTTCTAAGTTTGAAGTTTTCAAAGTAAAATGTTGGAAGTAAGGAATATAAAGTCAATTATTAACGTGGTAAACACTCACTATATAGCCCCCACTGGCCTCAAACTCTTGACAATCTTTCTGCCTCTGTCTCTGAGTGTTGGAATTATAAGCATGCACCACCATGCCTGATTCAATATCTGTCAAAGTAGTCCTTTCATTGACTTATTCAACTACTTGTTTCCTGTTGAAAACTTTATTGATCCAATCTTATACCTACTAAAAGACAAAAACTAGGTTTAAACCTTTGGTTTCCCATTCC